GTGTGTCGGCCACATATTTTCAAACCTGAATGGTCTAGGTCCATTACCAAGAGGTTCTTGTCCTACTTCTATAGGGTAGTGATCAGAGGTTATCCTAGGTAGGRCCTTAGCCACCAAAYCTCTCCARTGGCTCTCCCAACCCTCATTAAATAGGAATCTGTCAAGCTTTGAGCAGGTTGSGTTTTCTTGGAAGTTGGACCAAGTGTAGGTAGCCTGTAGTAAAGGAAGCTCCTGTAACTCACAGGAATTTATGAAGTCATTGAACYTCCTCATACTAGTTGTAATGGCCTGCGTAGGATTATTTAACTCATTTGTGAATCTTATTGCATTAAAATCACCCCCCAAACACCAAGGACCTTCCCACAAACCTTGAATTCCTTGAAGCTCCTCCCATAACTCATTCATCTCTCTGTGGTTTTGGACCATACACATTTGTTAGCACCCAAGTAAATCCATCTTCCACCATTCTGAATTTTAGGTATACAGTGAAGTTTCCTATTAGCTCCTCTACTGGTTCTCCGAAGTCCTCYCTCCACAAAGTTACTATTCCCCCCGGGGCTCCCCACGACGGAGTTGAGCACCATCTTACCCCTCTTATTTTCCAGATCTCCCTGACCCACCTTCTATCCAGTTCAGCTAATTTTGTCTCCTGCAACATCACAACACCAGGTCTTTCTCTCCTAAGTAGCTCCTTAATCGATCTCCTTTTTCTGGCACTACCCAAACCCCTTACATTCCAACTTATTATCTTCATTACCTCTCAAGAATTTAGCCCTCCAATATCGTGTTCCTTCATTTATAACCCTTCTTTCTTTCCCCTCTACCACTGAATTCGATACCCCCTTCAATGTCCATTATTAGTCTCTCTACTTCAGACTTTTTCTTCTTTTTCCTACCCTTGTTTCCCACTGACTTCCTATTCTGCCCTTTATTTCCTAATTCCTGCCCCAATCTATTGGTTCTTGCCTCTGATTCAGGGTTTTTTGGAGCCACCTCTATCATTTCCTCCTTCTGTTTATATTCCTCTAGTAGGGCACAAATCTGCTCCCAAATCCATTCTAACTCCTCTTGTTTCCTTTCTAACAACCCAACTCCCTTCTCTGATCGGACTCCATCATTATCAATTGCCACTTCCCTGCTTCCAGTTGGTTGGTCTGGTTGGGATTCCAGGACATCTGTTACAGGCAGAGAACCCAAGTTAGTATCTAAAACCAAATGGACAAGCTTACCTGGATCTAGCATAGATGGTTGCATGTGGACCGGCTGCTGGGTATCAATTCTTGGAGTCAGGACTAGGCCCTTCCCCTTTTCCGGACTCAGCAGTGGAAGCGGACTAGGTACAACCAATACTTCCTCACCCTCTACAGTCAAAGAAACTTCACTTCTCTTTCCCTCTGCGTGACTCCTTAGGTAAGGCTCCAAGTTTGATTCTTGTCTCTCTGGCCTGATGTCCTGACTAGGCTGCACAAATGGGATGGACTCGTTTATTGGCCGGGATGCACTCTGCCTTACCTCTTTCAGTGTTCCCAACTTCATCTATCTTTTGTATAGCATACCCAGTTTGGGAAAGATCTGTTCTCCACTGCTAAGGCTCACTCTTCTTTGCGTTTTGATATTACCAGAATCTTGCGAATCCGTCTCCTCCTCTAGGAATAACAGTTCAGTGTTTAGGCTACTCTCTTCCAGTATATCTCTTGGCTTTTGGAGGTCGATACTTCCCAAACTAACGGTTTCTTCCAAATCTGAATCGGAATCAAAAAGTTCTTCATCGTCTGTCAATCTTTCCGAATCAGAGTCGAAAACCTCACTGCTCTTCACACTCCTGGGGTTACGGTGATCCTGTTCCTTATGCGGCATCTTCTTCGAAGGTCTCCACTGTAACAAGCTGGAGACCTTCGCTGAACTGTTTGAACGAGAGAAAGAGCTTGAGGACAAAGGTAGATGGATTTTACTGTCTACTTGAGGAGCCAACCTTGTCACGTGCTCCTTTAAGTTGTCACGCGCCCCCCTCACTCTTGGGTCTTTTAAGCATAGCCCACTTAACTTTTCGGGCCTACTGGGCCCAAAATTACAATTTAGAGATGGGCCTGCTGGTTGGACTCCCGTTCATGTTCCTGAGGCTACCAATACCTTTGCCCTTCCTTCATTTGAATCATTCAAAATATTTTGTTGGCGCCACAAGCAGCTACCCGAACAAAGGTTCCATTGGTTGTCAAACCTCTACCTTGTGTCACACGTCTCCTAATAGTCTCCTGACCCAAATCTTTTGGACTGCCTAAAGGTAGAGTTTCCATTTCAGTGAAACTTCCTTGTCTCTTTTTTCCAACCAACTTCAAGCTGCCAYRTAACTCCATTTCCTCCACCTTTTCGTCTTCCTCCTGCCTTGCCTCCCTCCAAAGGTTAGCTTCAATGGAGGACACTAACCAAACTGGTAAGAACAGTTCATCAACAATTACAATCACCTTCCTCGGTATATCTTCTGGTTTTACTCCACCCAGTAGAATGGCTGCACTTTGCARATCTCCCCAGAAGACACCATCAAGGCGAGCTCCACACAGCAAAGCAATTGAGTTTGCAGTTTCTTGATTCCAGAGATGGAATGGCAGCCCAACCACTCGGACAGTAACATTATCTTCCATTAAGAACACTTTTGAGTTTGAAGAAAAAGACCATTTATAGACTGAAAAGGTCCCCAGAACATCTTGGATACAACATGCTCTAACATTTACCTGGTTTTTGAGAGGGTCCAATACTGCCTTAGCAGAATCAAACAGGGTTAAGATGAAGGTGCTTCTTAGCTCTAGTTTGAGCTTCAATAGTTCTGCAACTTTCCACCAATCTGTCACCAATCCTCCAGCTTCAACCACTAGTGTTCTTTCCCATTTTCCTGCTGTTCCATCTGCTATCCAGGATGGATCCCTCCTACTGTTTGCCATGGTTATAAATTTCTTTTCTGGTACCTCTTCCTTATACATGATCTGTCTTCTAGTTTCTGGTCTTAGTTCCCTTTCATTAATTTCTGATGGTTCTTTTTTTTTCCAAATCCCTTCTATTTAGGAATTTTGTTAGTATTCCAGCTATTTTTATCCATCCTTTGCCATTCTTCCCTTGAGGGAAGCAAACCATCTGCTTCCTTCCTTTAGAAAAATATTCAGTGAGAGATATGAATGCACCCTTTGCATTCCCCTTGTTCTCCATCACATACCTCCTACCTGACTCTGAGGACTTTTCT